TGGGTAAAGTGTCTTGCTCGAGGGCACAACAAAATGCAACGTCGCAGCGGGAATCAAACTGACAAGCTTCTGCACCATGAGATGTGTTCGAGGTCATGAAAAGTGAAAATGTCATTAAAGAAGACAATTTCATGAACTTTATATAAGTATCAACATCATTTGCTCACACAAAGTTGTATTTTGATCAAATGCACTTTAACAGTATCCTATCCAGTTTTGTAGAATGATGAGAATCTAGGACCATTACCATTGTGATTAACAATTTAAAACTACATATTATTTCTTTTGAATGGGGAAAAATCCTCAAAATGTTGTATGTAATAGAAAGCTGAAGTCTTTCTTTGAGGCTTCAAGTACTGAGAATATTTATCATCAGCCGGTTTTACTTCGTTTCACTTCGTACAAACCGTCTGATCTCGCAGCCTCAGATTTCGTTCGCCCGACGGTAGGCGGGTACTTTTTATCATTTAACCAATCGCTGCTATTTGGTCGTGATGTATATAACTTGGCTAACTGCTATATTAAGCTTTTCCCAAATCCCAAAGGAAGAATATAACATCTTTGTCCTTGATAAAACTCAACAAACATTCTCTTTATTCTGGCTTTAAATCCTCGATCTCGGGAATCGTTGACAACACAGAATATCTTACTCTTCGCTGATTGCCTGGTGCCCGAACATGCACTTCTGGGGTTTTTGCGAACTGTCTACTGTATTCTGATTCCTGACCTAGTCGCTGGAGAGAAATGAAATTGAGTGGAGGCACTAGGTGGCGCCAGCCTGGCTAGAGAAAATTTCTCTCTGCCCCCTAACTCTAACCACAGCTGCCCTTCTTGCAACCTAAAAAAATAATTTAAACAAACATGCAGGGTTTAAAAATGCTGTGTAGCCATTAAACACACACACACACACAATAGAAAATCTGCTGCCATGCTCAAATGTACTCATAAAGAGTTGGGTCAATATTTCTGTTTACCAAGAACAAAATGTGAAATAATGATCTCTATGTGAAGCATGTTTTCATTAAAAAGGCCCACTGATGTAATAACTACATCTGAGAGTGTTTTTTTTTTTTTTTTTTTACTATAGTAGCTGCTAGCATTGTCTGTTCATGTGCTAATAACATAATGTGCCAATGTGATAAATTGCTGTCTCCACCAACCCTTCATGCAGCGTTGTGTAATACGGGATATAAGAAACTGAGTTAGAAATGCTCATCAAGAGGTCAAAAGGGGACGTTTGTTTTAGTTCATGTTTATCTCCCTGTAAAACAATGCTTTTCAAAGGAGTGTGAACATTCCTTTCAAGTCCAAATACAGAATTTTAAAATGTAGCTTTCAAAGTGAATTGAATTTACACCTTTATAGCTTTTGTTTCTCGAGTTACCTTTGCTACAGGGTCAAATGTCTCTAAGTAATCTAAGTAGCTGTAGCTTTAGGGACAATATAAGTCCTGCCGTGAGTTCTGTCATTACTGTAGAAGCCACTGGGGGCAGATCTAACTCCTGACCACCAGTGAACCTGCCATATTGCTATCCATTGTGACCCCCGCACACGCTGTAAACCTGAGCGAGCCGCACTTTCCAAAGTCGACAGCAATAACCACTGCAGAATTGCTTTTAATCAACGTCTGAAATGAGGGTGACTTGAAGCGTCGCCCCATGCTGATTAAATGTAATTGTTTAATTGCCAAGTGCTGGGAACCCATCCTAAGAGGATTCCAATGGAATTATTTAATCTCTAGTCAGGAAGTACACTGCAGAGGGGAAGCGGAAGACTGGAAAAGGCACCGAATCAAACAGAAATGGTGGTGTTGTGGTGTTTTCTGTTTTTGAAGTCTATGAAATATTAATAGTGGTTTACATTTGAAGATGTGAACAAGCTGGAGAGAGAGTGCACTAAGTGATGCTACTGCGACTGAAAAGAGGTCACATGCAGCTCTGACCTGTATCTGCAATAAAAAGCTTTAGTCTCTCTTCAGAAGACTATTTCTAGGTGTGTAATGTTAGATAGTGACTCGGAAACTGCTATGTATAATTCCACTACATAGCCTGCTTCCTCCGTGGCAGCCTTGTTTGGGTTGTCTTTTTGGTCTGTCTCATTAAGATCAGTGATTATAACCTGGAAGTCACAAGGGCCTCTTAAAAGCGCTCCAAACCAGAATCATAATTGAAATAACATACGTGCTTACTCAACGCAAATACAGTAACACTTGATACATGTACCTGCCTTATCCAATAACAGACTATGTAACAGTTTTTTGTATACTATATTGGTGATTAGTAGGGATGTGACAATATCCAAATCTCTCCGTACGATATTATCATGATATGAATCTCGATATTTTGGAGAGGCTGATATAATTGATAATAATAATTAATAACGCTTTTTTGCTTTTAAATTACCTTGACATGATTTTGGTGTGAATTATTACTGTCAGAATCCCAAGAAGAAGTAAAAAAATATTACTTCATGTTGTCTGCGCTGAAATGAATCATGGGATATGTAGTTCCTGATGTTTATTAGGTAATGTTAATGTAAAACAATGCATTTAAGCAAAGGATTTTGTAATTCATCATATTGTGACGTCCCACGATATTATTGTGAGACTTTTGACGATAGGATATCATGCTTTATAAATAAAGTTTGATTGATTGATTGATATCATGGTATTTTGGTTATTGTTACATCACTTGTGATAATAACTCTAGTTCTATGAGTATTTGCATCGCCTTCTACCAAAGTTATTGGCCTAAGTCATCACCAATAGCGAGGCCTGCAGGGGTTTTAACACATACAACAGAGAACCTGGATGTACTGCATTTTGTAACAACCTGTAATAACACATACTCCAAACACTGAGCCCACACCCGGCCTAGTACAAGAGTATAATTACCAGATTTGTTCACAGTATATATGGGTAGGCTATTTGTCAAGCTTCCTATTGTAATTTTTTAATATCCAAAATGAAAGGTCTTATATTACACAAAATTCTCTTGACTCTTGTGAGCTTTAAGTCAAGTTATAATGTTGTTACCTCCTCAAAAACATGCCGGGAGTTGCGTTTCGTTTTATTCTCACGTTTGAGTAATCCTTATTAGTCTGTTTACATCTCCAAAGCTCAAACAAACGTATTCATCAAACATTACAACACAGATCAGAAAATATCCACTGATCATTTTTATGTATTATCTTTTCCAACAACAATCAGCAATCTTTCTGTACTTTATAGATCTAAAAGATACTCAAAAGCTCTTTAAAGCACATATAGGCCTAGACTGATTTCGCTGACCATGGTTTAAGAAGTGAACTTGTAAAAGCCAGCCTTATTTCAGACTAAAATCTAATATAACCCAGTACAACGGGGTGAGAGGAGACTTTTAAATCCCGCTCTTCTTATGAGGAGCAGTCGTAAGCCCTCTACCCCCTGCGATCACTCTGTCTTCTGCTAATGGGCCTCTATAAACTTAAGGGGCACAGGTGCGCTCCATTTAAGGCTACACGTTGGAGATGCATCGCTCGCAGTCACAGACACTCCCCCACCAGCCCCCATAAACACGTAAAAACACACGCACAAAAGAGGGAGAAAGCCGGAGACAGAGGGAGAGATGGCATGATTACGAGCGTACTACTTCAGCCAATCAGTCTGGCGCGCGTGGCATGACATTTCAATCTATCAAACAAATCAATAGCTGTGGTCCCTGCGGTAAAAGAGCCCTCCTCGCCATCTCTCTGCGTCTGCATTTGGTTATAGGCCTACGGAGCGAGGGCGCGCAACCCGGCTGGCCATTCTGCTGATAAACGCACTTCTGTGATTCTCGGGGGAAATGCGTTTGCGTCCCCCCCGGTCACAAAGCGCGCTTGTGTCCCCTCTCCAGGCAGGCCAGGCCACATGCGGGACCGTGGGGGGGTTGGTGGTAGGTAGGGGGCGGTTGGTTACGCGCTATCCAACCCCCCTTCCCCTCCTAGCTGCAGCTGTGGCCTTATTCGCAGCACCTGACCGCGGGCCCCAGATGTGCACAGCGCCCGGGCAACAGCAACAATTCGAGCAATGCAAGTCCCCAGTGAGACCGAGCCAGGCACCTGCAAACATAACCCCGCTATCCAACATGATGGCGTAATTACAGGTCTAATAAGTCGACATCTGGAAACGACTCATTATCTATCAAAAATAAAGAGCCTGGGTTCACAATGCTAAAATGGTATTGCGCTCTCAGCACTTTGACTGCGCATCAAACAAAAGACCCGCAGCTCCTGGCGCTGACCCAATTAGCCATCAGGTACAAGCGCACGAGCTGTAGCCATTCACAACACAGCAGCCTTTCTATTTATGTTCCGCTCTGTATGTTTATTATCAAATATTTGCCTGGAGACAACTTTTGACCTATATTCAAATTCTTCATTAACATTGAGCAGTTAATATGTCCACAAAGGCATCATCACAGTGTACATTTTGCCATTGTAAGTGATTTGCAGTAGGCCTATGACATTGAATGAGTCTGAAATCCAAACTTTGAAACATATTGCTCGTAGATCACAGTAGGACCGTGAGTTGTTCTGTGAAGCAGCGCAGTGTTCCAGAAGATGATGAAAAGAAGAACTTTGTGTAGAAGTCTGTCTGTAAATAGGGCTGACTTGGAACAACTTGGAGCTTATGGCTCAACGCTGTTCACACAGAAAACTGTGAAGGGTAATGGTGACATCTAGTGGCACATTCACATGTATACAAGTGTTCACAGGTATGTGGTCATTTAGTCACAATTACAAGTAGATCCAAGTCGTTAAGAGGAATAAATATATTATATCAATGTCATGTTTCCATAAATACAGAGAAAGAACTCTTAAAAATAAACAATACAATCTGAGGCTAAATTAGATTACATAATAATTCAAAGTTACAGTACATGCATCTTATTTTTTTGTATTTATTATTATTATAAAGGCTTTACAAAGCCTTCATTTGTGTGTTTTTAAAAAGACCAGCTTACTTTACTCATTTCATACTATTGATATTACTTTTTTGACCAGCAGAGGGCAACAGAGAACTGTTTTACAGTACCATACAAAGTGCAGCTGCACAGGGACTCTGGATACTCAACAAATAGTTTTCAAGTCCATAAACGGAATACAAAACATTTTTTAAAAGGTGGACTGGAAAGCAGCAACATGCTTGTTTGTTTGTTGTTGTTTTTTTGTTTCTTTTTAAATGAATGAAATGAAATGACTGCAGTGTGGCACTTGTTCAAAGTTGGAGTAAACTCAAAGAGCATATAACACTGCCTGTGGGCTTTTCCCTCTGTATATAATGGGAAACAGTTCCAAAATACTGATGTAGGGAGAAGATGATGTGTTTGATGGTCCTTCATATGGCACACCATCATTGTTGTCAACATGGGCACAATATTTCACACAATGAATGACTATAGGCACATCTCCATGGTGTCTCCATGTACAATTCAGTATGCTCCATCCTTATTCCTCTGGTGCCAGTGTTTTCATGGGGCAGAGCGCATGACTGATGAGGGGGGAGTGGTGTAACGTTTGGGGCACAGTATCTTGCCAAAGGCCCTGCGGAAGCTGCTGTGGCAGAGAGGGTACAAGAAAGGGTTAATGGCAGAGTTGAGCCACAGCAGCCAGAAGGTGACCTCGTACCAGTGATGCGGGATGCAGCGCCCCCTACAGGCTGCTCTAATAATCATCAGGAGAGTGTATGGAGCCCAGCAGATGGCAAACACGCATACGATGACGGCGAGAGACTTGGCAATTTTCTTGTCTCTGGACAGACGGCTGGGATGAAGCGTCCTGCTGGCGGAAGAGTCCATATTACCCAGACTTGGAGAAGAGCTCTGAGAGTGTAAGGACCCCCGCACGGCCAGTTTGGCCCCCCAGGTCTGAGAAAGAGGAAGGCCCTCCCCCTGAGCAGAGGCAGGATCACTGTTCTGCAGGTGGAGCTGGGTGGTCCTACAGCGCAGCCTCCTCCTGCGGATGCTTAGGTAGATGCTCAGGTTAAAGAAAGCCACTGAGATAAAAGGAGAGAAGAACTCCAATGTGGAGGCACTCAGCAGGAAGTACCAGGAGTAATAGAACTCAGCAAAACACTCGTCTTTGGGCACACGGCTCCTGCCCACTACCAGCTCCCACAGGATGATGGCAGGACCATAGAGCACAAAGGCCAGCACCCACACCGCCGCCATCTTGATTATGGCCCGATGAGTCATGCTCTGTCTGGCCCGGTAACTCACCTGCAGGAGATGTGCACACAACATGATCAACTTCATATCATGAAAGATATCATTCACATTCAGGGGTTCAGTCTGTCTGCAGGAATCATTAACACTGGGCTGGCTGTGCATAACACAAACAAACTATGGCAATTCATAAAGTTGAAATGCTTCAAAGTTTTAGAACAATCATTTTCCATGTAGACAGGTCAATGATTAAGCAAAATTACCTTTTGTTGATCAGACACAATATGGTCCAATTTATTGTTTTTGAGGTGCTGAAAGGTTCCTGTTAAGTGATTTATGTAATGACATTTTTGAACCACTCAAAATGAGAGAATGATGTGTCCTTGGCTATATCGGCTTTTATTTTATTTTTTTTAAGGGTTTATTATGACTGTCTGAAAGCAGAAGAATCGGTTAAACCAGGCCAGTATATTTTTGTCTTATAATCACCCCTAGTCTTTTGTTTTCAAAGGCAAACTGGGAACCACAACTGCTTTTGTCTGCTCAAGTTCAGAGGAAAAAGCTTTTAGGAGAACTGTGTGTTTAGCTTGGCTGTGGCCCGTGTCTAGTTCGATTGATCTGGCCGGGTTGGAAGGAGGTTGTCTATGATGAAAGCTAGCTAATTAAAGAAGGGACTAGCCTCTAGTCTCTCTGGTGTTATTTGTATTCATTGCTCTGATGATAAGTGTTTGCTAGCGAAGGGAAACAGAGCGCTGTCTTTGTCTCTCATGGCCAGCCTAATTCCACCTGTGAGCACTGAGCGGGCAGCAGGCTACAACACAAGCAGCTGATGTAAAGCTATGGGGAACAGTGAATAAACATAACATAGAAAGAGAAAAACTCAAAAGTTATAATAAAAACATTATCTAAGCTGCTTCTTGAAAGAATAAATCAAAATTGGTATTTTGTAAGGACTGTAGTTTATCAGTGTTTTTTTCCAGTAAGACCTACCATAATAACATGTACAAAATTTGACAAGATATATCAATTTAGAATTTCCAATGTGAACTCCAGTCAGATAAGAACAGCAGTTTAAAATGAATTTATTTCATTAAAAGTTTGATACACCTAGAAATCATTAAAAGTCTGATACACCTAGAAATGTTTTCTTAAAGAAGACATGTTATGCTTTTCTGCTTTTCTCAGAGAAGTTTTAAACAGTAACAGTGATAAGTCTTCATAGCAGAATTTATCATAGCAAACAATCAAAGAGCCATTTTGTAAGTGAATGATAAGAGAACACTGTGATAATTTGGTTTAAAGGTCATAAAAGTCCATTTTGTATACTACTGTATATCCCCTTTAAACCAGTGCCACTGTGGCACTCTGTCAAGAGCAGCGTAGTGCCTGTGAAGCCCCCACAGATCAAAGTCAAGAGTACCTAGCTGGAGGGTAAGTCTACAGTGCATGTTTCTGTTGTTGAATGCATACATGAGCAGATGAAGCTCTCAGAGATGGGGACAGAGGTGGTTAGGTACTTCTAAAATCACATTACTCATGCAGAAATACAAAGTGCTCCAGATTCAAATTTGGAAAACTTATTCACTCTAATAAACGTTTGTCCAGTTGAAAAAAAAAAATAATAATAATTATTAACCTAACTGGATGACTGAGGTACAACTCTTTCCTTCCTTCCTTATGCAGTACATATTGTTTTATAATTCCTAATTGGATGCTAATGCAAAGCTACAAAGACCGCCTGCTATAAACATTGCTGAACATTATGCAAATACAATCCAGCATTTTCTATTTTTCAAACAGCTGTTCACTTTGTCAGGTCCATGCAAAATTTACAATAATTACAATTTGTTTGCACCACATGAAGAAATAATGTCAATTTTGTAACCCTTGGAGCACTGTTTAGTACAAAAACAGATTTTACCATTAGAATGTATGGGGAAAATACACAGAACTTGGGAGGCAAGTGGGCCATGGAGTGATCACACATTTTGGTAGGCCTGTCACCATAATAAATATATTGACTTACCTTTCAATATATGATGGATGGTAAAATATTTTTTTGGTGTGAATATGAATATTTATACTGGAAACTTTTTCTTTGTACTAGTGGGGGACTTTATGTTCTTTTTCTGTACTACGATTAGATTTCAGTTGAAGAGGGTTGTATAAAACCTCTATGACTCATTCTGGATTAATCCTAACTACTAAGTACTTCATTCTGCTTTTTATTTTTTTGCAGCTACATTTGTAAAAGTTTTTTGAGATAATCCTGCTTTGTGTCGGTGTGATCAATTATTTTCAGTATTATCATTTATCTTCTATATTTTCAGTAATATACCATAATTCAAAATGTGGTATCATAACAGGCCAACATTTCCAATTTCAAATAAATAAAAATATGACCCAACTTTTGGAATTTTTCATTCTCTGTAAAAGCCAACATGTTTTCAGATGACTTTTTCTCCCAATAGTCAGAAAGTGCATTATGCGAGGCTTTTATGGCAAAGCCTAGCACTATAATTAGCATGGCACAGGGCCTGGGCGGTCGTAACCTCTGCAGATGGACACATTGGGGAGAATAAGGTGGCTATATCCCTACCAATGACCTGGAAGCGACCAAGCATGAAAACAGAACATCTATTGCATTTGCATTATCCAAAAAATAAACCAAATAGGACTGAAACAGGGACTAAATCATGACCAGGGATCATTATTTTTAATAGTCGACTGGTCAGTAGGAACTTTTTCAAGTAATCATTGTGGGGAAGTAACTGAATATACAAAATACATATTCTGAATACTAATACTAATATTGAGTAACCATATTGAGGTACAGTTACTTTTTCATTTGGTGGCATTCAGAATACAGTTATTGTGAATACATGACAGTACTTCATTATGCAATTTTGGCTTTAAGCTGAACGGTATTAGTGAGAACACACAGCTTTTACAGAGCGTGGATGTGCGATATTTCGTCTCTATTTAGACATAAATTAATGCATAACAACAAAAATAAAGCTGTTTGTGACTGATTATGTCATATTTTACACTGTAATATAATGCAACTCAATTTTAAAGTATCCCACATATTCAGAATACAGTACTTTGATTGGCCCATGTAACAATTCAGGTATTCAGTTTTCTGTAACTAAATACATTTTCAAAGTATTGAAGTACCTGTGATTTCTAATACACACTGACATTTTTTTTAACCAAATAAAGGTTGAAATATGGTGACTCAAAGCTTCAAGAAAAAAAAAATATTAAGGATTTAAGTGTATTTTGATGAAAATCAATACACTGACATTTTGATTTAAAAAATGCTGCTGTCTTTGTTATAAAAGGCCTTTTGGTGTGTGTTATGTATAGTCCAGATAACACAATAATGATTAAGATTATTTTAAATGTTGACTAGTCACAGTTATTTAAATTAATTGTTGTAGCCCCAAACCCATATCTATAAGAATTCACATCTCAGCATCTTATCCAGCACCAAACCAAGACTGACTAAACTTGGACTAGATCAAAATTAGGACTAAACCCAGACTAAATGAGTAATGAACTAAGACTAGGTCTACTGTAGGACTAAATATGAGCTAAAACAGGTCTACTCCAGGACTAAAAAAGATCTAAAACTGGTCTACTGGAGGACTAAACAAGACCTAAACCAGGTCTACTGCAGAACTCGGCAATATCTAAACCAGGTGTACTGCAGGATTAAACCAGAACTAAACCAGGTGTACTGCAGGACTAAACCAGAACTAAACCAGGTCTACTGTAGGACCAAACAAGATCTAAACCAGGTCTACTGCAGGACTAAACCAGAACTAAACCAGGTCTACTGCAGGACCAAGCAAGATCTAAACCAGGTCTACTGTCGGACTAAATCAGAATTATACCAGGTTTATTGCAGGACTAACCAAGATCTAATCAAGGTCTCCAGCAGGACTAAACCAGAACAAAACCAGGTCTACTTCAGGACTAAACAAGATCTAAACCAGGTCTACTGCAGGACTAAACCAGAACTAAACCAGGCCTATTGCAGAACTAAGCAAGATCTAACCCTGGTCTACTGTAGGATTAAACCAGATCTGCTGAAGGACTAAACAAGATCTAAAGCATGGTTACTGCAGGGCTAAACAAGATCTAACCAGGTCTCCCCCAGGCCATCTCATCCCTCTCTTTCCCGCTCACTCTGATGGAATCGTTTATCAATACATCACCTCTCAGGACTCATGTGTATTTTTCTATTTGTAAGTCCATTGTTGATAGGGTGCTGTGTCTCCCACTTACCGCCCTGGTCACTGAGAGGAAGCGGTCGTAACTGATGAGGACGATGTTGAAGGCAGAGGCAGAGCAGAGTAGGTAGTCCATGACCAGCCAGAGCTTACACAGCCCACGGCCCAGGGTCCAGCGTCCAGTCAGTGTGTAGGGGATGTACACCGGGATACAGAAGGCTCCTACAGCAGACACAAAATCAAATATGCACGCCAGGTACAAATGTGTGGATATAAGTGATTGAACACAGATGTTTAATCATTTATAGTGTTGAATGTTATAATATATCTATGCAGTTTTAAAAAGGGCACTGAAATACATACTTCGACATATTATATTTTAGTATTAGTAGTCCGCCCTTCTTGTAAATAAAATAGATAAATAAAGCAGTCAACTATTATTTTGATTGCAAAGTTTGATCACATTTTTAACCAAATAAATAATTAAATATGGTGACTGAAGGCTTCTAGATAGAGTACATTTGCAAATAAAGTGTATTATTTCATGGAAATCTTAATATCTGTATTTGTAATTAAAGGTATAGTTCAGATAATGCTTAATCAAAATATGATTACGATAATTTTTATAGTCAACTAGGCACAATTAGTCGATTAATCAATGCAGCTCTATTATAATTAGAATCAAAGTACGTTTTTTAGAGGGCAAGGTGCTCACCCACCCAAAAGTCAGTGGTTTGATCCCAGCTTTGGATCTCTTCTTGTATCCTTGGGCAAGACACCTCGCTCACCTTGACTATGCATACATACTTTTTGTGTGTAGGATGAGTGATTGGTGGTGGTTGGAGGGGCAGATGGCAAAAAGCAAATCAGTAGATGAAAAGAAAAATGGTGCAGACTGGCAGCCTCAGTTCTGTCTATACCCCAGAACAGAGCTTTATGAATAAAATAACTTAAAGCATATTTGAGTGTCCAAAATAATACAGGCTGCATCCAATATGTTATTACTATTAACCATGTGAAAGCAGGGGTGACAACATGGCCCTCAGATTCATAATGACGTTGTGCCATTGAGCAGGGCACTCCACTCGCCTTGCCTCCAGTGGTGTATGTGGTACATGTAAAAGTGAATGGATGAATGTTTAATTTGGCAAAAATAACATGGCATATTGACTACACACTCGTTCCCAAGGTAACACGTGTAACTGTAAGACGCAACAAACTAATTCATACAAAGTCTGTCGATAAAAGCTGCGACTTACCAACAAGGAAATCTGAAATAGCCAAATTGAGGAAGTAGTAATTACACTGGCGCCTCAAGCTCTTGTCCACTTTAAAGGCAAAAATCACCAGCGCGTTTCCCAAAACTATGACCACCACCAAAGTCACCATCACAAACATGAGGACGACGAACACGGGGCGGGAAAAAAACGCGCTACTTTGCACCCTGGTGGACGTATTGTCAAAATAGTAGCCGCTGTTGGAGGAGTTGGGATGTTGTTCTCCAGACATGGTCAAAACAAATGTTATTTAAATCCGTCAGAAGATCAGAAAGCGCGCGGAAAGGAAGGGACGCTCGCAGTGGCAGCAGCAACAGGTGCCGGTCGGAGGAGAGTCAGTGCGCTCGGCAGCCCCATGAATGTTCCGCTGGATGCTCCGACTGCTCTGCGCACAGTGTCCGGCGAAAACCACGAGGGAGCGCTCCACCTTCCCCTCTTCATCAGCGTGTCCCGGACGTGAGTGGGTGGACAGCACAACTTCAACCACGAATTAACTGAAGATGTTTGGGTAAGTCGATGAAAAGTAGGCTCTGTTAAAATCAGTTAGTTAGTACGAGTTATGTTCAGCCTCGTGATGTAAATGATTCATTCTTGAGCCAGTTTTATGATAAGCTTCAGATGTTCTGTCCCTCCTCTCTTTGACCTTGAAATGAGATCAGTTTAGTAATTTAAAGGTTGTATGGAGGATTTTTTTTTTTAAGTTTTAAATTGTCAATGAAAGTTTAAAATACAATTACAGAGATGCAGCAGCCTTGTAATTATGATGACCAAAAAAAATAAAAAAATAATAATAATAATCAACTGGATGTAATGAGGCCAGATAAACATCAGCCAATAGATAACAAGGCTACCTCATTATTTATTGGCTGTTAGGTTGTCAATCGAACTCCCTATGTTTCTAGTGTAACTGACTTGCTGGCGCGCGGGGATTACGTGGTTTATGCTGCGGTTCTTAGAGGCTTTTTTAAACTGTAGCTTCCTCACAGTTCTCACAAAGTTTGTTGAGATGGAGGACGACAATCCACGACCAGTTCACCGCAAAAGAAAGTCAATTTTTGAGGTCACTGAAGGAAGAAGAGAAGGGGAAAAGGAGCAAAACCAAACCGAGGTGATTCTTGGAGATCCCTTCCAGTGATTGTGTGAATTAAGCAGACGAAGGGTCTAAAAACTGATGTGTCGGTCGGTAAATTATTTCTAGACAGGTCACTTCAAGAGTAATTCTGAACGTACACCGGCTGTAAACAAGCGTTATTTCTAGAGTAAAGAGGCGGGAGGAGGTGTTTCTACTGAGGGAGCTGTTGAGGAGGAAGGTGGTGTCACGCATGTGCAGCATTTGAAAAAGGACTGTCACTGTATTTCTTTTCCCTCTATACCACAGGTGTCAAACATGCAGCCCTCCAAGACCTTTAATCTGGCCCTCGGCTGATTTTCTACTAAAATATTTTAACTCTATTTTTTATTAAAATCTTGTTACTTTTCTGTGGTGTTTATCACAGCAGCGTCTCCAGTGTCTCTGTACGTGGCCCCTCCCACCAGAGCAGCACAAATGAAGACTTGTCTCTTTCCAAACGCTCTTAAAGGACGATCGTTCTGACTCTTGACCATGACACCCTCATCAACAAAATGTCTAAAATGAGAAAAGCGGAGCTGAGTGCAGGATTTTACAACAAAAATTTACTTATTCCTATTTCTACAAGTTAATTTTAAACAAGTTAATGTTAAACATTGTGTTGAAACTGCATTTTTCTTAAAGTTTCAGGTTGTTCATAATATTATAATATTTTGTAAAATAAAGAGTTCATCAATTAAAAAAGATTTCTGTAATAGATTTGTGTTTCTCTGCACAAATATTTGAACTTATTGTTGTTTTTGGGGTTTATATGCCATGAGTTTTCTGATCCGGCCCCTTTGGGATCAAAGTCGGTTGGATACGGCCCTTGGACCAAAATGAGTTTGACACCCCTGCTCTATACAATCTTTAAATGTGTACTATGTAACTTTTCCCCGCTGGAACTGCCACCTGTTTGTCTCCATGGAGATCTTAATGCTTTGCCTGAAATATTCCACTTTAAGGTAACAAGCAGGTGATACCCTCAGACCAAGTTAAAGTTCAGGTCTGTGGAGGCCTCATAAGAATGCATGTTTTTCAAGTTATTTGTGAGAAAAAAAACATCTGCAAGACATGTTTTTAATGCTATATACCACGAATATTCCAAGCAAAGCCACATTATTTCCATGGAGACAAACACATGGCACACTCCTCACCCGAAAAGTCACATAGTAAACCTTTAAGAAGTATCTGGAATTCGCCTTACTTTCTAAAAGTCAAGAGTTTCCTAATGAGTAATGGGTATATGTGAGTGGGCAGAGGCTACCAAAGGATAAGGTCCACTTAACATTTAATGGTTAGTGAATATTTTAAGTCTGCAATCCGTTATCAGTCCTCTGTAAAATAGTATAATGGTCTTAAGTTAGCGTATAGTTTATTTGGACATTAACCTAAGTTTGACATGCTGTGTGTTGGTCCATTCTAGATGCCCTCATTGTAGTATATTTTCCTATTTTGTATTATGTTAATGAACAAAACAACACCAAATTATTATTCTCATTGTCCATTACTTGCTCTTTTTATTCAGTGAGGGAGAAGCAGAGCAGGTCGTGATACACCTCCCCTGAAGGAATTGTGTATCTGACCAAACAACTACCACAACAATCAATTGCAGGTATTATTTATTTAGTTTGTTTTCAACTTTTTGATCTAATGGCCTGTCAGCATGCCAGGAAGTAGTCCTTAATCCTGTTAACATTCAGATACCATCCCGACGGTCTCCCAGCTGTGGTCCAAACGAAATGAGAAACACTAGAGGAAAGTAGAGGTGAGTGAAGGAGCGCTGCTTAAATGACTGTTATTTTCTCACAAATGGAACCACCACTATCTGTCAGGGGAAGGCGTGCCATCTCCGCTGGAACCAAATCACAAAAAGCTTCCTCACCCGTGCTGCCGTCCCCGACAAGATAACACCGTGTCACAACAAGCCAGTGTTTCCAATGGAGCATGGATCACTATAAGGCTAGAACGATTACATTTGAACTTCGATACAGTCGTTGGAGGTGCGCATACACAAAACTTCAATCACACTTGGGTTTTTATGTTGTGAAATTGGCTTAACAACTCAATCTGGAGTAAGGTTCTGGAATGAAAGTTTGGTGGTTCATATCCTGTTCTCGTATTTCCAGTGTGTTGACCTGAACTGAATTAGGCGACTGGAACTCAGTCAGCTTCACGGTGCAGTTCCAGCTCTCACAGATGAATATCGTTGTTGTGTCCTTAAGCAAGACACTTAATCAACCTCACCCCCAGTGTCTGTGTACACTGGTGTATCAATGTTTTTATGAGAGGTTCCTTGATGTAAAGCGCTTAGAGGGCCTTGAAGGTGGAAAAGTGCTGTATAAAATTGTGACCATTTACCATTTAGTGACCATAATGAAAGGTTGGCATTCTCGGATTTTCAGTGACCTCTTGAGCAAGACACACAACTTATTTTCTCTATGGATATTTAAGTGTGAATTGTTCTTGGTCTCTGGTAGTGGGAGGGGCTTGTCTCTGTTTTTGTCTCTGAATATTGCACCAAATGATGATGCTGTTGATTACTTTATCACCACTTTCAAAACTTCAAAATATACAATTTCATTCACCTTATATTCATGGAGTCTTTTTGGGTGATGTCACTAAAACGTCACTACCCACCTCTACATCTGGTCACTCACGCAAGCCTTGAAAAAGCTATCAGTATTATAGCGAAACATTGGCTTTAAAGACTACTAAGTCCAGCTGTTTTTTTGTTTAACTCGCTCACATTATCATATTCATGGATGTCTCAAATTTTGCATAAACTAATATTCAATTGTAATCAAGTTTCTGAACCTGTGTATGCCCATTTTTGACTATAAAGTGTGACAAACCCAGAGCCAGTTTGTGTGCAAAACTAGCCATTTGGTAAGAAGCCAGTCAGTGTTCACAAAAAAATTTATTGCAAACAGTCTATGTTTACTTGTAGTGCCTGCCTACAATGTTGTGAATTGTTGTGAATAAGCACATAGTAATAGTAATATTCACAAAGAATGCATGAACCAGACAGATGTTAAGTTGGATCTGCATGTATCTATTAAAACTTCCTTTGAATTGCCCACGTGGCTGGCTAAAAGGATTCTGAATATGAAATGCCCATTACACTCTAATGTCACTATTGAAATATTCAACAAAGCCCTGGGACGTCATGGTAACTGAAATCATGCCGTCATGGAAACAACTATACACATGTGTAAAAGATAAATGAAGCTGTCCTAGATATGTGTTTAGTTGCCCAAAGCAGAGGTAGGTAGCTGATAATACTCGGTTACATTTACTTTAGTAACTTCTTCAATTAATTGTACTTTTCTAGCAACAATTGTACTCTTACTTGAAAGTTTTGGTTTCTCATCCCCCTTTATGTCAGTCTACAAGTGACAAACGTTTTATTTCGATAAGATTAATGGTTTGAAAATGTGTATCTTGCAGGGCTCTTTCATATAAAATATATAATTTAGTTTTTTGTGGTCTAACCTTTTTGCCTTATTAAATGTTTTGACCTTTCAATTCCTTTAATTTCCATTTATAATTCAGATGTCCAGACAGTTAGCTAACTCTTTTAGTTATTAATACTTTAGTAGCTACTAGTTTTCCCAAATACCGCTTATGATAATTTTACTCGAGTACAATTTTAGCTACTCCAACTATGGGCAAATTGTAGCCATTTTTTATGTCCTTTTACTATTATTTCTCACTTATCTTATGCATTCTGACCGTCCTAATTATTCACTGTAATGATTCAATTGGAATTTATAGCATGACTTAGTTCACTTGCAAGTTTCAACAACATACACATTTTTGAGATTACTAAAATTATGAAAATTATTACAATACTCCATTTCAGGTATGCACATCTTAAATTTCACCAGAACTTTATGAAAATTTTATGCATTTGTTTTTGTAATACCTTCTGCAGCTGTTCACACCCGGAAATACAAGAGTGGACCTAATCTGAATTTTGGAGAGCTCTTGTGGCCAAAGCCGAGCCACAGAAGGTGCACATGCAAAACCACTAGTGCTAGTGATTACACTGGGGCCTGCTCACTCTCTCTGTTATCAAGTGTTTGTGTTCAGGAGCACATCTCATACAACTGTAACAGAGCTCCATCCACGCTCACTTAATTTATGCATTCAGAGTATTCTAATTATTCACCATGATGAGTTTATTAGCACTTTTTATAACAAGACCGGAACAGAGTTTTGCGGTGACGG